GTTGCAGAGAATCTTCAGATCCGCTGAGCGCCCACTGCTCTCCATGGCTGCTTTCCAAACAGGAGATCTGGCTTCTGTGAGCTTCCAAAGGAAATACTGCGGATTGAGGGCAGTCATAAAGGAATAAGTCCCCGCTAGTCATGCCGTAGAGGACTCTGTAATCTGCGAGGACAGCCACACTGGAAACCAGAGAGCCAGGGATCTGGGTATAAAAGGTGTAGGTGGGCCTGGTGATCACTGGGCATGGATCTGCAGGGATAATATCCAGCACAAGGACTAAATCGTCATATGCTATGGCCAGCTGCTTTTCTCTCTTGTTGACTGCGATATCATTGACTGGTTTCTGTGACTCTGGAGGTGGGATGCATGCTACATCCTGCCTGGAATTCAGTGGAAAGATAAGGACTGTTCCAGACACAAGCCCAGTGAAAAGGAGCTGGTTTTGCTCAGCTATTTCCAGGCATCTCACTTGGGCAGAGGTGTCCAGTGTGTCACACGCTGCACCTGTAAAAAGAGAAGGAAATCAGCAAGACTGTTCTTATTGCACCTGCATGTGAATGTCCCATCAGGTGGGGTTCAGGATGGCTCCTTATTTGTGAAGTTATTTGTATATTATTCGTATTTCAGATTTTTCCCTTGTCAAAATAATAAGCTATTCTAGACAGAAACTTTGGAGAGGAGAATAAGAAGCTTTCGAAGCCTGAATCCTGTTCTTTTGAATCTCATGCTTAGGAAAAGCAGAAAGGAGCAGACTGTCTTTGTCACACATGCTCAGAAACTAACTCTGCCTTCACTGCTTCCACCAATTGCTCTGTTTCTCTCCTACCCCATATGCAGGCTTAATTTTCCACGGTGTTTCTGAGATGCAGTTCACCTTCTGTGGTGTCCCAGATGATGACTTTATGTCTCTCTTCAGGCTGGGTAAAATAGACATAGTTCCCACCATGCGACAGTGCAGTGCAGCCTGTCTCTGGGACAGGTGCCTGGGTTTTCTGCTGCTGATCGTAAATGAGGTTCCACACTTTTAGATATGGTGCGCTGGAGGAGGCAGAGACCAAAGTGCAGTCATACAGGGCTAAGAGGGTTGCTGGTGCCCCCATGCCATCCAGCCTGTCGGTCCGCAAACCCTGGTCTGTTAGACTCCACACCTGGAAAAAATTGGAGGGAGAAGTCAGGACCTGAGCGACTGTTTTTTCTCTAGCCTTATTTAAGAGGCTAAACAACAGATCTTCACTGACTTGTTGTACAGAAGCATAAGTAAAGTCACATGATGATAACCTACTCCTAATCTAGAAAACAGGATATTGAGCAACTACCAATACAAAGTTACTCTTAAACAAATATTTAAAGTATCTGGAGCTATTCACTTGCTGCCTTTGCTCTGGAAGATCCCTAATTAGATCCTGCATTTTTGGGGCTGTACTGGGTATTTACCTCTTTCTCTGAAAAGAGGTGGTTCTCCAGATGTTATATATTCCATGTCTGCCTTTCAGACTGGTAACAAGGCAGCTTTTAGGAGATCAAATTTAAAATATTTTAGAAATAAAATTGTATTTCAGGTCCTGGGTATACACTGGCTTAAGGCTGGCTCTCTGAATTGATAACATGCTCTCCATTCAGTGCCAAAAATAGAGAGAGAGCAGAGAGGCTTGAAGCAGTAAAGAGAAGTAGGGTAAACGGTCATCTTTTTAGAAGCATGGCACTACAAGAAACATCCTCAGAACTGTAAATCCATCCCCAAAACAAGTTGCTGGGGAGCAAGATAAGCACCTTATTGGATCAGGGGCATATTCTATGAGTTGTATTTGTAAGAGATGTTCTGCTTGGGAAGCTGCCCAGCCTTCCTTCCTACCTGGATAGATGCAGTTTCAGAACCAGTAACAATTATGCTGTTGTCAGGAGATATAACAGCTGTATGAACCATTCCTTCATGTTCCAAATCTGCTGCTAGCAACCTGTGGAATCCCTTTGAGTCAGCCAGAAACACTCGCACGTGTTCCCCAAAGCCTAAAACAAAATGTTAGTTACTGATTTATTGATCTGAGGAAGTCTCTAATCCCCTACAACACCATGTGCCTGTGCGTATTCCTCATCATTTAATACCTATGTTTTTAAAGGTGAGCGCTAAGGATAGCTTAGATACCCATGCCAGCATAAATTCTTTTCACTGCTTTTATCTCACTTGCTCCCTTGAAATAGGGCTCCTGGTACATGGACAATGTTCTAAGTCTGCACAGAGTGAATTTAACCCAATTCTTGTTACTCCTTTAAGCACAATAGATTAAAAAGATCAGGCTAATGGAAAGTCCCACGTCCCGCTCCCCATTTAAAAGATGCTTGGCATGTGAGAGAGGAGCTATTGCTAAAACTTTCCTAAGGAATGGGCACTATTAAACCTGCAGCAAGAATGGACTCATCTTCTGATGCCACCACAAAGCCAACCCTTCCAGGAAGCTTCTCTAGCAGACTGTTCCCATCAGAAGAGATCTGCACAAAAATAAGACAGAGTTAAACATGACATTAGGATAGCTAAGCTGCCTTTCCTTTGAAAGAAAGAGGATAGATTAGCAGTGAAATAATTTAATTTCGCCTCTTAGTGTTGGACAGAGCTGTATGTGCAACAGGACATAGAGCTTTATCCTTGTTCTTTTAGGAACTAGGATGCAGAAGTCTGAGGATGGTGCTTTATTCCAAATGAAGAAGGAAGGCCCACTGGTGACCAAATTCGTTGCCTGGCTCAGCACAATTCTGCATGGTGTGTAGGAACTGCATTTTGTTTTATTTCACGACTGCGTGATGACAGTCTTTCTTCAGCCCATCCCTTTCACCCTTCCTAGGAATGCTATGCAGAACATTTGTTCTGTGCCTTCCGATAAGGGATCCAGTTTGATGCAGTCTGTGATCAGACAATGCATTGGCAGGTGCAGGATGTACAAGTTTGGTTTGGAGGAACTAAGGCCCTATTAGAAAACACTTTGCTCAGTCATGAAGCAAATCTGTGGCAGAGTTGGGAACAGAACCACTGGCAACGGTGGAACCCCACGGTCATACTGCTGGTGACAGAGAGGTGGATAAAGAAGGGCAGAGCCAGATCACGTTGCTGTAGCTGCCTGAAAATTGAATGAAATGTGAAAATATGTCGTCAGAAATTGCTTATGATGATAAAGGCAGATACTGGTGCAACAGAATGAAATGGATGAGATGGCATACCACAGAATTAGTATTGTTTAGGATTCAGATCCTTGAAATATTACAAGAAAGTTGAAAGAGAGATATGTACCACGGATAGAGATCCTCCACTAAATCCCACTATCATCTTCCCTTGCTTCTGGATGAGAACACCAGCAGTTGATATTTCTTCCTGCAGCCCTAATAGCTGACATCTAGATTGCAGCTCGCCGGTGATGCTGTTCCACAGACTCAGCGTTCCTCCTTCAGACATAGTCATAATCATCAGCCTTGGGCTGCATACTGCAGAACACATCCACGCATCTGTCGCCTCTCCAGAAATCTGGAAGATGAGTTCTGCTGTCTCTAGGTGCCAAGCGTTAACCTAGTAAAAAAGGTGGCAAAAAGATGGGAGTAGAGAGGACCGAGGTAGCTTTTCTACTTACAACCCTCATGATTCTGTGACTTCTTACATTCTTGTCCTTTCAGCATTCTTTACGTTAAGAAATGTCCCTAAGTTCCATACCTTTGTATCTGAGGAAGAATATACAATCATGTGCCTCTCATCCACATGAAGGCAATTTGAAGGCTGTTCTTCCAAGTGGGTATCCTGGATAACAAACTGTGCTCTGCCAGAAGTCAGATTCCAGATGCGCAGACTGTGATCCATGGCAGCTGAAACAGCACAGGTTCCTTTTCCAAACACTTTCACACACCTCACCTCAGCTATAAAATAAGAGAAGAGAATTAGCAACACCTGGGATTCTCAGCACTTCCAGCAATTAGGAGAATGCTGGCAACTAGGAGGTGTCTGTGTACCTAGAGCTCAAGAGAGCAGTCAGAGCTCTCTTCAGACATGAAGAAAGCACTCCAGCCATGAAAAAGGGAAGGCTCACCAGAGTGCCCAGGCAAGGTGTGCAGCATCTCGATAATTTCCATATTCCAGACAAGCACTGAGCCATCCTGGGAACCTGCCACCAGCAGCCTGTAGTCAGAACTAAGTGCCATTGCTGTGACGCCTGCAGTGAAACACAAAAGGGAAAGGCTGTTCCAGATACTGCAGACAAAAACCAGACAATCTGGGACTGTTGCTGCGCTGTGCTTCCCTAACTGGGAACCCCTTGTATTGACTGAACCCTGTAGACTGTGCCAAGAGCAAGATTAGGTTCCCTTGGACATATCTAGGTCAGTGTGTGCTTTTGTTGTCCTGGCGACAAAATGACCCACTTTCTGTATCCTCATTTGTTAAAGCAATTGCCAGTGGAACTGGTGCATGACTGAACATGAAGGCGAACGGACCTTTATCCTGCCTTTGTGTAAGCTCACAGGCCAAATTCTATTTCTGCAGAAATATATGTTCTCTCTTTCTTGCTTTATTTATTTATTAGTTTATCATTGTTATTTCACTCTTTATGAATAACAGATGGGTGAATAGATGTATTCTAGGGCTATATATCCCCAGTGAGGGATATCCTACCTTTGAGGAATCCGGTGAGCGTTGTGTTCAGGGGCCCACCGGGTGGCTGGAGAAATCCAGACAACGGAATGAGAACAGGATAGGGACAGACACTGAACCAGCTTACACACTGTTGGCACAGCTTCCCAATCACATCAGGGTAAGAAGGCATGAGAAAAAGAAGCCTGGCCAGCACTTCTGTGTATAGTATACTCAATCCTAAGAGGGCAAAGACGCAGAGTTTTAGAACATGACTGTGGTGGGCCTGTGAGAGTTACTGTGGTTGCATTCAATGTGATGTACAGTGTATGTACATAATGAACAGTGCATGATGAACCAAAATGAGTGGCTAAAAGGTGTCCTTATCTGGCCAAGGACTCAGATAATATAGGGAAGGCTGCAGTGTGAAAGGCAGGCAAATTTAATGGAGTGACAGGATTTTTTCCTTGAGGAAGGAATGGAGACTCTGAGGAGAAAACAGAGGAGCAGCACTGTGTATTCTTTCCTCTTGTTAATGTTAAAGCTGCAAGGGAATCTAGATTGCTAATAGGTGTTTATACTGGAAGAGGGGCAGCAGGCAAACTGCTCTAATCAAATAGACCGAATACCTAGTGGCAAAGAAGAAACCTCAGGTTCCTATACAGAGGCCCTACCAGAATGAGGCATTTATAAGTCTTTTGATGGATCCCAGAAGAGAGAATTTTGTCACTAGTTGTAATTCCTCAGAAAAGTGTTCTTACTTGGAAAGGAAAAACCCATTTCTTTCCCCCAGGTGGACGTGTGCATCTCTCTGTCACTTGGACACAGCTCTTACCCTCGAGGCTGTCTATACTGCTGACTGCGGGTTTCAAAAGGAGAAGAGTGTTCTGCACAAGATGTAATTCTGGACAGTCGATCTGTTCAGTACACATCGCAAAGTCATCAACAACACTCTGTATTCCAGAGGCAATTGTTTTACAGCTGATCCAGTTCATATTCCCTGCAGAAAGAAGTACTATTAGAGCAGAGAATTATCAAATCTGAGACTGGACAGTAATTTTTAAGAAACTGAGATTGAAAAATACTTTTGGGGGCAGGGAGGGTATAGAAAGATTAGCAGCCACCAACAGTGGAATTAATGTTTCCTTCTCAGCTTTGGGAGAATCTAGAGCATTTATTTCAGGTACGAAAGGAGTGTGGTGATAATTCTAGGATGACGGTTTGTTTTGAAGCTTTTTTTCAAGCTTCCTTCTCACGGTGATTATTGATGCTATGCAGAAAGGTTGAGATTCTGCACTGCCGTTACCTGTGGCTGTAGGCATGACTCGTGCTTCTGCAAAGCACTGTATAACCCCTTTTGCCCAGTCCTTACCCAACACGTCCTGTTTTAGCTCCTCAATTCTTCCTGCACCGAGTAAGTGAAATGGCAATTCACTCAGCTTCCTCCGATTAGCAACAGTATCAGAGAACCAGAGTGGCTGAGGGGCTACCTAGGAAGAGCGGGAGTAGCAGAACAGTTGATTTGAGACGTGGCTTATGGATTAATCTCTCTGCTTCTACAATTTCAGTTCTAGATGCTGTCACAGTGTGACAGATAGTGTGCTTCCAGGCTATTTCATTTTGCTTAGGAAATTGTTTTCATGATTCTAAATTTCTCTTGCTGTAGTTTAAGACTATGATTGCCTTTCTACAGATGTTAATAATAGATTATTCCCTTCCTCACTGAAGTAGACTTTTACATATATGCAGACTGCATGACAAAGTTTGTAAATTTACTGTAGATCTCCTTGGTTGGCGATAGCTCTGTTTAAAAAAAAAAAAATTATTTCTTAATCATTATTGAAAGCACTGAATAGTATCATTTACTGTTATTTCCATTGTCTTCTGATTTCAGACCCTGTCCTGCACTCTGGAGACTCAGAGCCCTGGTCCAGAGCCTACAGGTATGGACGTGTCTGCTGGTATTCCTCGCCTTCCTGTCAGCATTCAGAGTCCTGCTAAAGTTTGGTAATACAAGAGGTTTCTTCATTCCCCAGCTCCAAGTCCCCTTGAAGAAATCTGCTAGGAGAAAATGCCGCTTGATTTGGTCTTGTTTTGATAGATAACGATTCTGTACCATTTCAACAAATTGCCTGGAAAGGGAAAAAACAATAGAGGTAGCGGAAAGGGGAGCTAGAGCTGGATTTTTCCCTCAACTTCAGCCCCGATAGAGTTTAAGAGCTGAGAGGATTCTAGGCAGGGTTCCCGAAAGCCGAGGCTGAGAACGTCTCAGAGGACTGGCATCTTGTTCTCTGCCCTCTAGCAGTACCTGTGTGCAAAGCCAAGAAGGGTGAAGCCATCTGCCTTCCGTTCTGCCAGGCACTCTCCCATGTCACTGCGCAGCCGTGCCCAGTGGAGAGGAGGAAGGCGCAGGACACTTTTACTTGAAGGAAAGTGGCAGTGGTGAATCTCTGAAAGAACATCATCATCAAGGGATAAAATGTCCTTTAGCTCCATGTCTGACAGCCCGTTTCTGCAAGTGAAGTATGATACATGAAAGGAGATTATTTATCCTCCTCGTTACTGTTTACAGTGATTTCTATAGTGGGAGGGTGAGTGGTGCATTATGGTGAGGATCCCTCTGGCAGTTCAAAAGCACCAGTCACCAAGAATCTCGCTAGCTTACATGCACTTATGGCAGTCCCAGCTGAGAGCTTATGCCCTGGACAAGCAATGGAGATAGATTTTCTTTTCCAAATAATCCTAGAACATCTCCCTTCAAGACAGTATTTTAGGTAGGCTTCCAGGTGTAAGAGGAATGTTGTGCTTGATAAATATATGCATAAAGACCTCACAGGCTAGAACAACTGAGACCTTCTACTGGCTTTCGCTGTGTTTAGGCAGAGATTCCCTATGAACAGTCAGGAAATAGAAGCCATTTCATGAGAAGTACAGTAATACTCACCGTGAGGAAGCAATGTAGCCAAGCGCATGGGCCACAAGGACTGTGCCATGTGACTTTTCCAATCCCTCACACAGATGGTGCATGGCTTCCTGGGCTGTGCTAGCAATCACTAGTTCTGAAGGTGAAGTGTAAGATGCCCATTTCCTGGCCTCGTGGAAAGCCAGCTTAAAGAGCAGGGGTTGCCCACCACTGGGGAAGTTGTGCCAGAGATAAGCCTGTTGAGCGGGGCTCAGCTGCCGTCTGTCTGCTGCGAAGAGTATCTCTAGCATCTCCTCACCTTCCTCACTAGATAAGGGTCCTACTTCAAAGTATGCCTCAGCCTCAGGCACAGTGTGTTGGAGAGCTTTCAGAATATCATGCTCTGTTGTGGAAATGGAAATGATGATGTGGACCTTTGGGGGGCAATCTTTTGGGAGCCAGTAGAATCTGTGAGCACCATCATAAGGAAACAATCTCTCCACAGAGTCAAGGAACAACACCAGTGTCTGTGTGCTGCAATGTGAGACAGTGAGGAGGAGGTTACTGAGGAACAAGACTAAATCACTGCGAGCCTGGTTGATTTGGTTTGGAGGTGGTGGCAAATCAAAAGCTAAGCACACTTGGAGACAAATGTCCCTCAGCAGGCTGTGAATAGCAGAACTGAGCTGGGATGTCCCCAGCAAACGAATCACAACCACAGTGTCTTGCCCTAAAACAGCTTGCACCTGCTCAGATAGTTTGCACATCACAGCTGTTTTTCCACAGCCTGGTGGCCCATAGAGGATCAGAGCTGTGTGCGTTTTATCATTGTTCTGCCTGATATGGTGAAAAATGTTATCCAATAAATTCTGTCTCCCACAGAAAAATCTGCAGTTCTCCAGGCACAGAGCTGCATGGTGGCTCAGCTCCTCCAGAAGTCTCTCTGGCTCCTCTCTGATCTGTCCTTGGTATCGAAGATTCTCTAAGACCTGGTGTTTAGTGACAGCAGTGAACTGTTCACAGAGTTGTTTCAGGTATTTATTACTCCTCTTGTGCTGAGCGGTCCCGGAGTCTTTGCTGTATGCCAGTGTGTGTACTTTGAGGTGTTTGGGATGATGGCTCGCAATTTTCGCTTTAAGGTTGCTGAGCAGCTGTTCCTCTTCACTGTCCAGGTTGTCCTCTTTCTCCACCAGCTCAGAGTTTGTCCCTTTGTCTATTTGTTTGTCAGAATCCTCTGCCTCTCTGAGGATTATGAAAGCCCCCAGGTTGCTCTGCTGGGTATCGAGGAGACAGTGTTCAATCTCCCGTTCAATCGCTACAAAAAAAGGGGGATGTGGGCGTTTGATTCTAGAACAGAACACAGGAAAAGCCATCTACAGACATTAACTTACATCGTTTGGTCCTTCCGTATTTCACATGATGCTAGCAGGTCAGCATTCCCCATGTCCTCTGAGCCAAGCGTACTCCAGAGTCTGGTCAGTGAGCTGGGACTGTTTCTCCTTTTTTCCCCCCCATTTGGCGTACTGTTTGCCAGTCAGCATGAACCTCCCTCCCCAGGATCTGGCAGATGGTTAAATCTCTTCCTTCCCTGCATACTGCCTGTTGTACGCAATCTGGTGCTGTCTGGAACCAAACAGCTCTCTTCCCTGACAGCTCTGGTTAGAATAACATTACAGGCCTGCCAGAACACACCTGATTTGTGGTAGCAGTGCCTCTGCTCTGGGCTGAGCAGCCCACACCTCTCTGCCTTCTGGGCTGCCACGTACAGCACTGAGGCCAGGCGTCTCTCCACACGGTGCCAGGCCTGCCCATCAACCTGCTGGAGCACATAGCAGGTGGGCAGCGCGTTCTCATCCTGCTGGTACCACTGCGTCAGGAGCTGGGCAGAGTCCCCTGACACCTGCAGAGTTAGGGCCTCAAACTCCTTCTCTGCGATGAGGTGGGGCACAGTCTGGTGCCCGTAGCAGTCCCCCAGGAGTCCCTGCAAGAGGCAAGAAAGGCCACACATGCAGATACTGCTTCTGTAGTGACAGCTGTGGTGTGGGCTGCCTGCCTGCCTGCCTTACTACTTGGGATCACCAGGGAGGGCTGCTCAGGAAACTTGCCAGGAAGTGCAGTCCTCTTGCAGCTTCCCTGCTTGGATGGGGACAACCAGGCAGAGTCCCAGCCTGCCCCATGGCTGGGGAGAAGGGGCCTTAGAGGAGCTGCTCCTCAGGCCCTTACAGCGAAGAGGGGGGTGAGGAGATTGGCTTTGGGGAGGAGCCCTGGGCAGCAAGGGGACAGGGCTGAGCCTGCAGACTGCTAGTTAGGACTGAAGGCTGGGCTGGGGAACAGGGACATCTGAGAAGGGACAGCATCTGGTATCCATGTACCTCGGAGAAAGGGTGAGCTCAGAGATCAGAACCCACCGTGTAACCCTTGAACAAAACCCTCCTGGTTTGTGTGGAGGGAGAGGGAGTAGTCAAACCTTTGTGGCTGGCTGGAGTGAGATTTGTAGATACACAGTGAGAGCCAGTCTGAGGAAGATATGGCCTGAATGCCGGTTAGTGCCATCTGCATGTGCAATATGGTGCTGCTAACAGATGTGTGAGCCGCAGGGAGCTCAGAAACAGTGAGTTCATGGATGCAGTAATGCTGTGGTGAGGCTCTAATGGTCTCTGCCTCACCTCTCAGAACAGAGATTCTCTATTGCTGGCCTCTGGTGGAAGTGGCTCAGGGGAAATCGGGCAACTCACACAAATACTTAATTACTTATTATTTACTCGTGGCTTCTATTAGGCTCACTGGGACTGCATGTTCTCTGCATTTATTGTCTTTGTTCAGCAAAGCTTTCCTTTTCCCTTTCCAAAGCCTAAACAACCCAAGGAAGCAAAGTAGTTCTGGTACTTCTACAGGTGTCACAGTCTCCTCTCCCCTTTGCAGGCCTGGAAGTTCTGGGTGCGGATTTCTGTTTGGGGCCGTCACCAAAGCGCCTCAAGGAAGCTGAGGTGGGCTGCTGCAGTGGGGAGCTTTCAGTGGTTAGAAGAAGGGATTGGAGGGATTTCAGTTTCTCTCCTTTTTGTGGAGCAGAAGCATGGATCAGCTTGCAGTGTGACACCCTAACTCTGTCCCTAGTGGTTGCTATGGCATTTTTGTTTCTGGTTCTTTGGGGAATTTTTATTTTTTGCTTAGTTACTGCGAAAACCTCCTCAAAATTGAGTATTGGGTAGGAAGCAATCTCAGAGCAAGAAATAGTATTGTCCTTCTTGCTTGATATATATCTCCATCTGCCTCTTAGATCTGCCAGATAATACACACAGCCCCAGTATCTCTAACTTTGAAGAAACCATGTTCAAGGCTGGACAATGCATGTGTGTGTCCAGCCTGTCTTGTCTTTTAGGGACTACTGTAGTTATTGGTATTTTCTCAGCCCCATCAGCTAGCTGATTAAATATTTGTGAAGCTCCTCATGCAGGCTAATTACTGTGAAAACCATCTTACTTCTCCACTATACCTTTGCAAGTTCTGAGTGCATAAAACCAGCCCTTTATGTCTCACTTCAGCTATAGGGATTGAGTATGCACCGCAGTGCTGGCACTTACAATAAAGGTGGGACCTGCTGACATTTTCTGACAGGCTTCAATTTCTTCCAGACAGAGTTGTGTATTCCTGTGATCAGTGTCTACAAGCTCAGAAATACCCCATCTCAGGTCAATTACCTGCACACACACAAAAAAATTTTTTAAGCTTCTTAAAGACCAGTCAGTACTATCGTAAAAAACAGTGACATGGGGAAATTAAGTCTTTCTATCACTTTAATTTCTAGATCAGTCTGAAAACTAGTGGTGTACAACTTTATTGCTACTCTACAAGATTCAAAATTTCTCAGTAGAGATTTCTCCTGTGAAGGACCTGAAGCATTTGAACCGTTGACAACCAAGTATACAACTTGGACAGTTTTTCAGGACCAGGATCCTCAAAACTGTAGGTTATTTGGCGCAATATTTGAAGCCTGTCTTCTATCACAGAAGATAATGATCCCCAGTATTTCAATGGCCCCTTTTATGTTAAAAGTTCTATGCAAATGAGTATAGTCAGGACTAGTCAACTACTCCTGAAGTGTACCCAGTGGAATTTATACATACCATGAACTCTCTTCCAATTGAATAAAGACACAAAAGTGTGATGTAAGCCCTAGTGTCCAGATCTTGAAGATGACTAACCACCTAACTTTGAATTGAAATCCATGAAACACAAGCATAAAAATATACTTAAAACGAAAGCTCTAGGAAACCAGTACAGCAATATTTGACATCAAAGAGACTTCTAAGGAAAATCCATGGGGATTTCTTTTTTTTTCCTCCATTCCATGTATTTTGATGGCCTTTGGATAAGACAGACAGGAAAGTAAGTGATTTACCTCAAACATTAGGCCGTGCTTCTGACAGAAAGCCAGCGCTTCTGGATATGCTGCCTCCAGGAGGGTCTCCCTCTCTGTAGCCATGTCTGCATGGAAGGATTTGTGCAGCACAACAGAAGTTAGGAGTTGGGAGCCTGATTGTTGCTTTACCTAGTTGCCATGTTTTGACCTTACAGTGAAAACGCAGTTCACGTTGCTATTATCTGATCTGCGCAGAGTTTCATAAAGATGACATTGTGGTTAGGTCTTGCAAAACTGTGGTTTTCAGATATCTGCAGACTTGTTACTACATCACCTATGCAAGTGTATGTTAAGGGTTAGGTTCACGTTCCTAGTGGCCTCTCATAGTCTATGCTGTGTTTTCATTTATTAATATGAAGACTCTGGATCTGGAGAATCTTGGATTGCATAGTCAGAATACAGTACAGCAGCATTAATCCAGAAAAAAGTATTCCTTGCATCTTACTGTGGCAAATCCTCCATCCTATTTCAGACTACTCAGCCCCACTCTTGGCCATGTCAGCAGTGACAAATAGCCACAATAAAAGGCAAGCCCTACCCACAGGAAATCTTTTTGTAGAGTCAAGTCTGAAATTTTTATGGCTGCTTCTCCTGCTGTGCCTATTACAAAGAGAAATTACCACTTTCCAGAATAATCTTTGTGACACCTTTTAACAATGTCATTTTCACTGAATTAAATCAAACCACAAACTAGATAAGTTGAAATAAGACAAGAAGGCAGAGCCAAAAGGGGAAAAGGTAAGCACATATATGCACACAAACACAAGCCTGTATGCTCACTCCCAGCGCTCACATGCAGAAGCATGCACCCTCTCCTGTTCACTGATACACAGGTCTTATATTCATAGATATTTTCCACACCTGCAAAATAAAAAGACAGGGGAAGAATAAAGAATGTGTTTCTGCTCATGTATGTGTTACCATATGAGACTGTTATTTCTTCAGGACTGGAATTTTCTGTCCCCTAAATTCTGTAAACGATCATGGCACTACCTAATCATGTGATAAAGTAGTACAAGAGGGAAGGCTAAAATTAGGGTGGGGAATGGCTGCATCTGCAGCTTTCCTTGGGACTCTTCTAAGTGAAAAGTGATCACTAATGAAGTCTGTGCCAGTGTCAGATGAGGAGAGGGCTCCCTTGGGTTAGGAACTGTAATGTCTGCACTGCTGTCCAACAGGGAGCAAGCTCTCTCAGCATAATACTCCTGGAATAACTCCTGAGCTCTCACAGAGATTGTAGTTGTTACAGGAAATCCTTGTACTACTTTACATATGTAACCCAAATGACTTCTAGGCGAGAGAGTAGCATAACTTATGCCCCCATCCTTTGGTGAGAATTCAGCCACGTCATATCCTTCATCCCAAAATTATTCCTGAAAATACATGAAGTCTAGCACAACTCGGGCATTGTAGGAAATATTTTAACACTAGCTGTGTCCTTATATGCCCGCTAATTTCAAATTGTCTGTAGGTCTCATACAATCCCTCCAGAAACTGCAGCTGTAATTCCTTCCCTAAATGCTGACCTGTCTGCTTAGGTTGAAGACATCTCTCCAACCAAACAGCATATTCATCATGTTACCTCCTACTGGAGGAGATATTACAGTATCTTCTTTGGAAATTAGACATACAGGCACTTCTAACTTTTTCTGGAATGGGGAGGCCTAAGCCTGTGTTTTCTTACTAACAAACTGAGACAGAGTGAACGGTTTCCAGAGGAAGGAGAAATCTGGGTTTTGTAATTCCTGAAAATCTGAGTCATTGCTACCCACTGCCAGTTACCACTTTAGAAGCTCAGTCTGGCAACTGTGTCCCAGTAGGCAGAGGAAGTGGGAAGTAGTCAGATATTATGCAAGAAGGGAAATTCTTCCCAAATATTTCTTGCTGTTACAATGGTAGATGGGAATCAAATGCGTGGCCTAAGATTACGAGAAAGCCTGCAAACATAGCTGTCTTGTGCATAGACAGGCGTTGCCCTGCATTGAGCCATTGCACAATGGTGTCTAGACTGAATTTGGCTTCCCTGCGAATGCCATTAGTTCCAGAGCTGATGCAGAATTCTGCCATCTCTGACAAGTCCTAAGTGCAAATTGGGCATGACAGAATAAAGCTGTGTATAAAATGCAGCAAACTGTAGGCATCTTCACCTTCAAATGAAGCTGCAAGCTTACGGTTCACTGATAAGCATGGCAGTCTCACCACATTGCAGCACTGCGGAGGTTCTAACGGAGAGCGCCCAATAGCATTCAGCAACTTCAGGACTTTTCAGCTTATTTACCTGAAAAAACTGAGCTGAGGAAGACTCGGACCAGGCTGGAGGGCTGGAAAGGAAGAGGAACCATCTTCCCACAGAGAAGATCCCGGCGTGTACCTGAACTGAAGCTCATGCTGCTACCCAGGTTCCCCAAGTCCTCCTCAGCAGAGACTGTTCTTTAGAGAGATGATTAACAGCAGTAAGCAGCCGTCAGTGGTGTCTCTCACAGCTCAGCTCACCTCAGCACTCTTCACATTACTCCGGAAAGCTGACGGGTTCCTTTAAGGAAAGTCTGGTAAAATTTCAGCTATTTTGACAGGGGCTGTAGGAAATTGTTGACTCTGTCTGCACTGAGATGCAGTGAAACTCTGCTGCATCCTGGAGTGATCTGTCTGTATTTAGAGAGGACAACTATCTCTATAGCAACCAATGTTTGTCACTTGGGCACGATCCCCAAGGCCTCCTTCTAAAGCACCGAATGTGCTCCCTATCATGTGCTGTACACCTGAAGTCCCTTTGTTCGCTGGCCTTGACTATGCTGGAAATACTTGTCTGTATTTCAACATCAGGTAAGCATACCAGCACTAGCATCATTTATGGTTCAGGCACTCTTAGCCATTAAAGCAGGTTTCTTAATAGGCTGGGACCGTGCCCTGTCACCATTTGCCTTCTGTCAAGCTGTGCAAAAGTGAATTACTAAACCGTCTTAGTTAAAAATATTCACAACACATATTTCCTACTGCCGGGGCCTGGCAAAACTGGGCTACTGTCATTAGTATCTTTATTATTTCGAGTTACTGAAATAAGAAACCAACTTCAGCTGTCCAAGTTCTAAAATTTTGACTGAAGAGAGTGATTATCAGCCTTAGAACTAGACAGACAGAGTTTTGCTTTTCTTTTGGTCCTTGTCTATACTAACCAAAAAGTCTGTTGAAGTCAGTTTGATGTGTACTTTCTTCTCAATAATCTTAGAGGTTCTGTAAATCCAGATCATCGTGATAGCTGGATACAGCTTTTCTTGTAAGACATGCTGCTTTCTCTATGACCTGTGGAAACAAATGGTGCTGTACCAGCCAAGCAGATTTACTCAGAGCTATTTTCTACTTCCCCATTTCCCCACAGAAGACCATAGCTTATGCGGCTTTTAGCCTTTTCCAGGAAACTCTGAACTGAGCATATCAGAGAAAACCTAAGTTCAGCAAGAGCAGCTGCTGTTTTTCAGTTTATCTCGTAAAATGAGACTTAAGAGGCGGTTTTCTATCCCTTTCTATCCCAGGCACACAGAGGAGTAATTAAGGAAAAATTAGTAATCTGTATTTATGTAATAGGCCCCCTCTGCAGACAATACGTGATTAACCTTTGCAGTCATGTAGTCAAGTAAAAAGAGATTAATGACATCCTCTTCCATCAGAAATCACACAGGCAGGGAGACAGAGAGTCTTGCCTGAAGAGGCAAACATTAGAGAAGGCCTGCACAAGGGCTAAGCCAACATTAGAATTTAGCCTATGTTGGTCTAAATCAAATCTAAGCCAACATTAGGGCTTAAAAGTAATGGATCTGCAGACTGTTGTTCAAGCCACTGCTATCAGATACAGCTACATAATGGAGGAAAGTGTCAGCTCCGTAAAGGAAGCTGAGAATATACCATGCTGGAGAAGAGGAATCCCAGGACAGCAGACAGTCTGGAGAATGAAGACAGCATCCAGGCAAACTGAAAAATGGAAGATATTGATGGAAAGAGATGTAGTAACCTTTTTGTTCTACAAGCATCAATACAGACGTTGTTTGGAGCTCAGGATGTGTCTCAGCAGCACTCTGTGATATGGTATCTGCATCTCACGCTGCATATACATGTCATTATGCTGATGACACCAATTTCTTCCACTAACAAATCTAAGAGAACTAGCTGACTCACTGATTGAGGCAGTTGGCTCAGGGAGCAGGACGCCCCCAGCAAAATTAATTTTAGAATCCAGGCCCATATTAGCAGATCATGTTTGGAAAGACAAGATCTACCTGGTCTCATGAGAATCATCAGGGGTTGGGATAGCTGGAAATGAGGAAGTTTGCTTTCTGCAGGAGTAGCAGCATCGTACCTGCTGGTGAGCTGAGAGTTTCTGTAGTTTGCAAATCAAAAACAAACAAAACCAACCAACCAAATCTTTTCAAGGGACGTTCTGGATTTCCTCAGGCTATAAAAATGTTCAGGCCTCTAAACATATCAGACCTGTTTTTCTGCATTCTGCATCTATATCCTGCCTGTACCCTAAAGCACTCGACGATGAAATCAGTCTCGCACTGATTCTTCCTAAAAGGTTACGTTTGCAAGCACGCTAAAAAAAATCTTCCAAATTCTCTTTAGGAACATAAAGAAGACAGATAGGGGTCATGATGGAAGATATTATAAATGGTACTTTGACGTGGGATAAAGTGTGAAAAAGGCAAATGCTAGTGTACGTGTGAAAGAGAGGCCAGATTCAAAGATATTCATGAATGTCGATCTTAGTGCTATCGACATCTCTTTGTCAGAAATGTCATCACAGAGATGAAGTGAGTAGCAACTGTGAGTCACGATGGCAGAGCAGTCTACGGTATGATAGGAAATCAGTTTTCTCACTGTCTGTCTGCTTCACGCAGCCAGTGAGCTGTCATCCCCCCACAGCTCGCTCACAGACTGCCGCCTTTACAGACTGCGTGAGGGCAGGATTAAATTCTTATCTGGGTGGTAGTTTTGTGGGTGGTTACTCAGTAAGGACCTCACTGCTGGCGTTTAACAAAATCCAAAACCCTTTAATTGGCTTTTCCTTACAGTTTTCAGAAGCAGAGGCAAGGTCACGCAGGGCACCCATGCACCCAGTGAATGATGACGCTGAACGTGAGAATCCCTGCTGTTAGAAGAATAAGTCAGGGTCAACAAGGAGTGAATCCACAGCACCTGAGAAAGGCAAAATCCAAGGCCAAAGGAGAAATCGGTAGGAAGCAGCTGCCGATTTGCATGCCCTTGCCCCCTCCTGAGACACAGGATGCATGGAAAACACTGAGCTGGACAAGTTACTCATACCAACTTTCATGTTCTCCCTTCCAATACCTGGGGAAGTCCTCTTT